GGACCAGGATGCTGCTGCTGTCCCCCTGACCCCTGTCCTCTCTCTCCGTCCCTTTCCAGTGACGGACGACATGTACGCGGAGCAGGCCGAGAACCCCGAGAACCCCCTGCGGTGCCCCATCAAGCTCTACGACTTCTACCTCTTCAAATGGTGCGTGCGGGTGTCGGGGTGTCTGGGCGCCCTGGCAGGGGCGAGGACGAGACGACTGCAGTCTGGGTCCGCCGTGAGCCCTTTCAAGGGCTAGAGAAAAGCAAGCAGATGCAAGCAGGACCCTAGTTAACCCCTGTGCCTCATGCATACATGCAAGAATAAAACCTTCGTTAGTCTGGTGTTGTCTGAGCACTAACGAGGCAGGATAATGCCCAGCAGACCTGGGACTAAAGCTGGTCCTTGGCTCCGATCCTGACTGCAGACTCCCTAACCCTGAACCTCACTCTTTAGAAGGTGCAGTCTTGGGAGACTGATTTGTTTTTCCACCTAGAGTTTTAATTACTATATTTAAATGATTTGCTCAAACTGTCAGGTTCACCGTTTTGTCCCATGTGTGGGGACCAGCGAGCTCTGTAGAGCCTGGGTCTTTCTTTGTGTTGTGCTGCTGACCCTTCACCCTTGACCTCTGGCCCCTGACCTCATCTTTCTGGTCCCCCTCCAGCCCGCAGAGCGTGAAGGGCCGCAACGACACCTTCTACCTGACGCCCGAGCCCGTGGTGGCGCCCAACAGCCCCATCTGGTACTCGACCCAGCCGATCTCGCGTGAGCAGCTGGAGCAAATGCTCACGCGCATCCTCATGGTCCGGGAGATCCAGGAGGCGGTCGCCATGGCGTCGGTGCACTAGGAGAGGGGAGGGGCCAAAGGAAGACTCCAGAGAGAGGAGGATAAGGGGTGTTGGGGGCCCGGGGGGGAGGGGTGTTGTGATTTGGACTGTACTCTTGCGCCCTCAGTACTTGCCTCTCTCTCTGTTCCCCATCTGCTCTCCTGTGCCCTCTCTCTTTCTCCTGAATCTCTCTCTCTCTCCCTTCTGCAGTCTCTCCTCTCTTCTCCCCCCCTCTCTCTCTCCCTCCGTCTCTCCTCTCTCTGCCTTTCAGAAAGAGCTCTCCAGAGACAGAAGTCCCCCTTCCCCGGACTGCGCCAAAACAGCCTGGGCTGTCCTCACTCGCGCTGAGACAGACCCGCCACAGGACAGTTACAAAAACAGTTGCCTATCTTAAATGTTTTTTTTTTTAAAGTTGCGTTTTATTTTTTAATCAACCAATAAATGTATTCGTTTCCTTTAGGCAAAGAGCCTTTTATTATTTAAAAGACTACTGCTTCAAAAAGGAAGGAAAAAAAAAACTGGCGTGATATATGCAACATGCATTTTACCGAGCAATTACGATTCCTCTGCCTGGACATGGACAGGTTCTTTTTTTTTTTTATTTCTTCCATTGTAATTCCCTTTCCTTTGATCGTTTTCTTATTTAATGGAACGAAAGCTGGTCTCTCTGACCTGGCTCCTATCATGAGGAGCAGCCTGGGATCTCATCCTTTCCTTCCATGACCTGCAGTGCTGGGATGGCGCCAGTCTGTTGGAGGCTTGTGGGAACTTGACTATTGCCCGAATACGCTCCGCGCCTCGGAGCGGGAGAGTCCGGAGGGGAGGCGGACAGGACGACGTGCAGCAAGGAAAGAAATCGAAACCCGGAATGGACTCTCTTGGCCGGGAGAGAGCTGGGTGGCTGCGAGGAGATAAAACGGAATGCGAGTGGGAGGCCGGCCGGAGGAGCCGACCGAAGGGACGACGCCTTTCAAAGGATTTTCTTTAAAATCTCTGGAGGATCCCTCGCGATCGGCGGCGAAATGGCCTTTTCCGGCCACGGACAGTACAGCCGGCTGGTTTTCTTCTTGTGTGTCCTGGGGGATTGGGAGACTCGCTCACTCTTCCCCAGCCCTGCCAGGTAGTCATGAGCACCACCCCAGCGCCCCCTGCAGGCGCCGTCTGGACAGTCCGTTACAGGTCTCCGGGCTTCAGAACTGCATTGTATCATAAACACTCTTGTATTATATATGATAAAAAGGAGACCACTTTTTTTTGGTTGTTTTTTTTTTAAATTCCTTGTCTCTCTCATATATATTCGTATTCTAGTCGTTTATCAAGGATGGCAAAGCACGTGTTTTCAAACATGCCTTTTGTACAGCGAGTCCCTGTCCTGTGTGCTTCTTGTTTTCCCTTCGTGCTGGAAAAGGGAGGGCGGGTCTGGGGGGGGAGTTCACTGGCTATGGGGTCACCCCTGTGTTTTCTCCTCATTCTGTTGGTCGTCGGAGCTGGGTTATTGATTTATTGGGGTTATTGGTCACTCGGGAGTGGCGTGGTGGAGACAACTCTGGACTCGGAGAGCTCCACACCCTTTGAGTCTTCTGGAGCTGCAGGGTCACCCCGATTGTGTGTGATGGACGTGTGTGATTTGGTCTCCCAAAACAAAGCCTGCTTCAGCTTAGTTTTCAGATGTTCGGCTACTACTCTTGTATTGAGAGAGAGCTTTAGAGTAGTCTGAAGTCATTAGTTTTGTGTTTGTGGTGTCTGCACCTCGTTGGGGTGTTGGTAGTAATCACGGTTGATGATGGATTCTGATGGGAGAGGCTGGTGTCTAGCAGAGCAGGTGATGTTTATTTTTGCAGCTGAACCCCTTGTTGCGGGTCTCGAGCTTGTGGTGCTGGAGAGACTTTTATGCGCTCTGTGTGTGTGTGTGAGCTGAACTACTTCAGCCTTAGTTCCTGGACAAACCCTGAGAAATCCCAAAATCCCCAACATAAATTCTGCACCCTCCCACTCAGATGGTAACCTTCAGTCCGGTGTGTCTTTGAGGTCATCGGGATGACCAGGCTTTAGAAAGAAATGTCAGTTTCTGATGTTCAGTTAAATTTCGAAGCTTAATCCCGCGCAGGTGCCCAACAGATGTCATAGGCCTCGAAAAAGGAGCCAGACTCTCTTGGCTTCATCACGCTTGCATTCCAGACCCTCCAGTCCTTTCCATCCTGCTGTGGGTCTTCAGGGCTGCCAGTCTGCGAGTCACGTAAATGAAACTGTTGAATCATCCACCCAGATGAGGAATGAGGACGGCAGTCGAGTGGCACTGCGCAGGAGGCTTCTGCCCTGTGGTTCCTGAACTCTGTGCACACCATCTTAAATGGGCGATGTGCTTAGGCTTTAAGGACGCATGATGAAAAGTAACAGAGCAGTGTGTCAGTTTTGCTTCCTGTCCCAAGGTTCCTGGGTTTTACGCATGTGTTGGCCAGTACCTGGTGCTGCTCCTGGCGCATGTGTTTTTGCAGTCAGGTCATTAGCTATTCGGCCATCTTGTTCACCAAGTTACCCACAGCTCTTTCATCTGAGGGTCTCCTCCAACCTTTCCTTTAATGATCCGATGATGTCAGCTTCAAGAACCGGGCTGCTTGTTCCAGACTCCAGCCTCCCTTTGTCTAAAGGAACACTTCCTGTTCTCGGTCCTAAATAGTCAGGCTTGAGGTTTAAAGGTTACTTTGTTGTAGTGTGTTTTGCAGTGTGTTTTACAGCGAGATGCACCTCGAGGAGCTTTGCTCGATGATGTTGCAGCAGGGGGCTAGAGCAAGCGTGGCCGCACATTAGCGTGTCAGACTCGCAGACTGGATTGTCGGTGCATTATCTATCTGTCAGTATAGTTTTCCAAGCAGGCAAATCTGTACGTGACAGCTGAGAACAGGAGAGGCTCGAGGTATTATTATGCATGACCCTCTAGCTTGCACTGCAGGGCCACAGTCTGACCTGAGGGGTAGGTAACTACTTTATAGAGGCTCACAGCATGATAGAAGAGCATGAACATGAGCCCTTGGATAGACCTTGAGAAATAACTGTCAACTTAGCCTTGAAGTATTTATTATGCAGAAACCAGCACCTTTGTTTAAGGTACTCATCCCCTTACACCTGAATCAGTGCAGGCCAAATGAAAAAATGCACAAGAGTAAAAGAAAAACACGTACTATTGTACATTAGTGATTACTGGCAAATCACTGCTGATGATGAGATTTAATGCACATTGTTCCTTATGAGGGCAGAGCCTCTCCTGTCCACAGCGCACCTCCAAAATGAGGCATGGAGACTGTCCTGGGGAAGGAGCCCAAAATCAAGGAGACCCCAGGCACGAAGAGGAGGTGACAGGTGTTTAATGTCTGCCTCCTGCTTGCGTTCCTGGCTCCGATAGGGGAGCGGTCTCCGTGTGAAGCAGTGGGGGCCTGCTCCGCAGTCCTGGAAGTCCTGATCTGTGCTTCACGCTCTCTCCTGGCCTTGTGTCCGTACAGTACAGCAAGGGCACTGGAGCACTGGGGTAGTCCAGTCCCCCTGACGGGGTGTACTGGAGTCCCTGTGAAGCCCAGCGCCCTCCCTGCCAGGAGCACCGTAGGCTGGGCGCCACGGCGAGATCGGTCCCGCTTGAATCGGGGAGGCGGGAGGCAGGAGGGCATTCGCTGCTGTTGGGTGGGAACTGCCAGCAAGGCAGCAGCCTGTCCCCGTGCCAGGCTCACTGCAGACGGAGCTCCGGGGCCGTGCCCTGAGATCGCAGCCAGAAGGTAAACGTGCACCCTGCAGCCTCAGCGCTCCGTGCCCAAGGTCTCTACTGGGTACGCGTTTCGAACAGGAGGGCATCGACCTCGGGGTGCGTTTCATAACACTGAACCTTCGACTGCGTTCGGGTAAAGATTAGCAATTTGTTGTTGTTTTTCTTCCTAGGTGCAGGTAACGGAATGTAATGGCAACGCTAGCAGCCTGCTGTAGCCACTTGGTGAACTGAGGGCAGGATGTTGCTCGGCACAGAACGAAGATGGCGGTGCGGTGCAGATTATGCAGCTCTGAAACTGTTGTTTGAACCCCACAGCCCCATGGAACCCCACGCACCCACAGCCCCATGGAACAGGGAGCAGGTCTTCCCAATTGTGCAACAGGAAACACGATTTCCCACACTCCTCATAGGCTCCAGCAGGCCCCCTGTCTGAATGTTCGTTCATTTCCAAATACCACTGCTCATGATGTGGCTGGGAGCTGGAAGAGTAAATCATTCCGCAGAAACTAGTGTAAAGGTAGATCTGTGGTTGTGCACCGTGTTGGGAAAGAAGCTGGTGAGAGAAACGTGCACCTCTCGACAAGAGCTAGAAGCGTGTTTCTGAGCACGCTGTGTGACTCGGGGTGAAATCCCTGGTCCGGATCACTGTGGTTACAGACTGCACCTCTGCAGCGTGGTAGTGGGGCCCCCGTCGTGTTTATACTGACCCTCGCTGAGCTGCGTCACTCCTGAGGGTCTGGGGGGAGGAGGAGAGAGGGGGGGACACGGGCAGAGAGGGAGGAGTAGAGGGTGGGAGGGGTGAGAAATGAAAACTTTGTAAATGCAAAACACCATCAAGGCCAAAACCCAAAATATTCCAAGGCCATCCGGTGAGTAAAACCGTTGCCCCCTTTAAACTCCCCCCCCGGCTTCTCAGACGCTTCCACCTTCCCGAAGCCTCGGGGTTCTGTGTGTCCCTGTGCAGGCCCGCGTGCCTCGAGCTGGTCGGGAAAGATGATCAATGATTGACAGACCCCCTGTACTGCAAACAGTGGGCTGGTCGTCCGCTAGAAAACCCCAGGCCGCGGGGCGCCAGGCACTCGTCGCCATGCCTGCTCTCTGCTGTGCGCTGCTGTTCCTGCTGCCGGCCCTGCTGGCCCGGGCGGACCCAGACCCAGACCCAGACCCGGGCACGGGCGCTGGCCAGGTAGGGGGCTGGGGCGAGAGGGCCGGGGGCACTCTTCCTGCTGGCGCCTCCAGTTCCACAGAGAGGGGGGCTGGAGTTACGGGGTTCGAAGCCGAGGGGGTTTGGGGGGCACTCCTCGTCCTGGGGGGGCTGGGCTTGTGTTCGCTGTTCTGAAAGCTCCAGAACGGGGGCTCCTGGTCCTAGGGGTCCCCACAGCTGAGCTCTGAGACACGTAGACGCCAAGCCGAGCCAGCAAGGCTCTTGGGTGGGACGTGTGGGTTTTATTTTCTCCTCTGGTGTCGGAGAGCTGGAGTTGCTCCAGGGGCGCGATCGTTGAAACAGGCAGCCCTGTGTTTCCAGCCTGAAAACAATGAAACGGTTCTGATTGCACCTGCTGCAAGGCCTGTTCAGGGGCGGATTATTTCTTTATTCACTTGTGTGCTCAGGAGGAACGGTAACCAGCAGGTATGTGGGTCCAGAGCGGGTCCCTCGGTCGGGCCAGTCTGGTTTGATGCTGTCCGCGGGTTCTGGGGGCGGGCCTGCGCCCCCCCCCCCTGCTCCCAGCCCTCTCATTGGGCCTGTCTGTTGACCCTCCGACCCCCCCAGGGCAGCAGGAGTGACATCGACATCTACAGCTTCCTGATCGAGTCCCGCGTGGCCAGCCGCTATGCGCGCACGGTCATCACCAGCCGCGTGGCCAACCGCGCTGACCGCTCCCAGGAGATCGCCTTCCAGGTGGAGCTGCCCAAGACCGCCTTCATCAGCAACTTCAGCATGTGGGTGCCTCTTCTTCATCCTCACCCTCAGTCTCTCCTGTCTCCTCCCTCTCCTTCTGGGCACACTGACCCTTCCAGTCCAGAATAGCCAAGCTGGTGGACTGTACACTCACTGACCCTTCCTGTCCAGGCAGGTGGACTGTACACCCACTGACCCTTCCTGTCCAGGCAGGTGGACTGTACACTCACTGACCCTTCCTGTCCAGGCAGGTGGACTGTACACTCACTGACCCTTCCTGTCCAGGCAGGTGGACTGTACACTCACTGACCCTTCCAGTCCAGGCTGGTGGACTGTACACTCACTGACCCTTCCAGTCCAGAATAGCCAGTATGGAATCCGTATGGACAGGCTGTTCCCGCAGACACAGAGACCCCGGGCCCCTGATGGCCCTTGTAAGAGCTCTGAAAGGGCGCCGGTGATGTCACAGCGCTGACTGTGATCTCGTCACTCTGCCTCACGAGAGCAACACCAGCGGAGAGCTGGCCCTCTCCAGAGCAGGAAGTCAGACCAGACGACCAAACTGCGCTGCAGCTGTACTTAACTTCTCTAAAGACAAGAGGAGTGGGGTGAGCCCCTCAGACTGTGGGGTGATCCCCGGTTTGTGCCCCAGATCCTGAGCACTGGGGCTGGTCTGCAGTGAGCTGAGTCACCCAGCAGAGTGCAGTCAGTCTTGCAGGGGGGCTGTGCTATCAGGACCCCAGCTGCGCAGAAGAGACACACGCACACGCACACACACGGCCCCCTGGAGCCCAGCCTGGGAGTCCGGTGCTGGTGCCGCGGGCCGGGCCGGGCTGGGCCGGGCCGGGCTGAGCGCGCGGGCTGTGGTGTGTTGCAGGACTGTCCAGGGCCGGACCTACGTGGGCGTGGTGAAGGAGAAGGAGGCGGCGCGCCAGCAGTACTCCGAGGCGGTGTCCCGCGGGGAGAGCGCGGGGCTGGTGGGGTGAGCCGCCGTCCTGCCGCTGGGGAGACACCCCTCTGTCCTCACGCCCACCCTGGGGTGCTGAATCACAGGGGCAGCTGACATCGGGGGTAGTTAATCACAGGGGCAGTAGGGATCAGGGGTAGTTAATCTCGCGGGCAGTAGGGATCAGGGGTAGTTAATCTCACGAGCAGTGGGGATCAGGGGTAGTTAATCTTG